CAAGCCTGTGCTCCGCAGCGGGAGAGGCCACAGCAGTGAGAGGCCCCAGTACTGCACAAAAAAAAAAAAAAAAAAAAAAAGAGTAAAGTATTGGGAATTCCTGGCGGTCCAGTGGTTAGGAGTTGGTGCTCTCACTGCCATGGGCCCAGGTTCCAGGGAACTAATATCCCACAAACCGCGTAGCGTGGCCAAAGTAAAAAAAAAAAAGAGTGGTAAAGTATTAACTGTTGAACCTGGGTGGTGGCTACATGACCACACATTACACTACATTACACTACTCTCTCTACTTTTATGTTTGAAAAGTTCCGTAAGTTAAATTTTAGAAGTCTCCAGAGTTTCCTTGTTTACAAAACAAACAATAAGGATAAAATTATACATGGTAAACTCCTGATTACAAGATACAATAGAAAAATGAATTATATAGCCAAACACCAGAGAACAAAAAGACAAACTCCTTCACCAAACGTTTTCTTCTTTAATCCAAAAGTTATAATACCTCTAATTCTCACTGTATCTTGCCTTTTCCTGGGTATCTGGTAATACACTATTGTATGAGATGAGAATATCCACAAATTATCTCAGTAATACCAACATAATGGAAGTTATCTTCTTTAATTCCCACCTTAGTGTAACTATGATCTGACATGATCCAGCTGACACTTGTGGGTAACTCTCCATTTGCAAAACATACATTGAAAAAAACAAAAACAAAAAACCACCACCACTCTACCCCCAAAACCATGTAGGCTAAAAAGAAAAGTATAGTTAGGTATTTTAAATGATAGGACATAAAACTTACTTTGTTACTGCTAAAAAGGAGCTACTTTAAAAACTAAACCAAGGGCTTCCCTGGTGGCACAGTGGTTGAGAGTCTGCCTGCCGATGTGGGGGACACGGGTTCATGCCTCAGTCCGGGAAGATCCCACATGCTGCGGAGCGGCTGGGCCCGTGAGCCATGGCCGCTTAGCCTGCGCGTCCGGAGCCTGTGCTCCGCAACGGGAGAGGCCACAACAGTGAGAAGCCCGTGTATGGAAAAAAAAAAACAAAAAACGAAAAGACAAAACTAAACCAAAATTCTCCTTTATGTTTAAAATTAATTTTTACAAACACATGAAACCATCTTATGACCTAAAATCAACAGCTTAACCACATATCTTCCTCGACCCCATTCAATTATTAAACATCAAATTAAAAATCTATACCTGTATGAGTAATATGTTTCTCATGAAAAGTACCATGAATATCCACAAATTAAAAACGTAGGGATGAGAGAAAAGTCTTTACCAATAAGACCTCCTGGAGCAGCATACTGAAGATCATTATGCTCTGCGAAAAGTGATACAATTTTGGAAAAGATGGGTTTACACATGAGCTTTCCTTCACTGTCTTTGGAAACAATACCAGGTCTGACTTCTATCTCCTGGCCCACCTGTAAAAATATAAATTAGTGATTAGAATTTGTGGGACAACACGATTTCCATTACATACAAAAAGTCCTAACAGGAAGACCACAAAACTGAAAAGCAATCCTTTCTCTATTTCGAAGATCACTATTTAAAAAAAAAAGATATGGGAGAGATCTTCAAAACCAGAACCATCCAAATGTTCCAAACTACCTACCACACAGGCCTATCACCATATAAAATGTGCTCCATATTCACAGAAGCCTATAAAGTTAGAGGTCAAACACACTCAAAAGATATAATAGTAAACAAAGAAGTCTATATCAAGTACTAGACACCATGAAGAAAAAAATTATTTTTCAATTTGGAGTGTTCATACTATTTTCCTAATTAAGAGAAAAACAAACAAAATAAAAACACAACAACCAAAACCTAGTTTACCTTTAATACTCCTTTTAGAATACTACCACCAGCTACACCCCCCTTAAGGTCATCAACTTCACAGCCAGGTTTGTTGACATCAAAGGATCTAATAACTAAAAAAAACAAAACAAATTAAAGCCAATTGTATTCACATTAACTTCAGAAAAATCTGATTAAGTTAACTTCTCTAAAATAGTAGACACATAAGATTTATACAAGGGGGACTTTGTGACAAAATCTAATATTATTCCAACTAAGTATACTGCAACCTTAATTACGATGGAAAAAGTGGAAATAACTTAAAAGTTCATTGATAGGACGCATATTATGGTACACCCATAGTATGGAGTATCACGCAGCTATTAAAAAAGAACGTTAGAGCACATGTAATGATGTGGAAGGATAACCTTCATATATTGTTAAGGAAAAAAGAAAAAACTAGCTATGCATAGTATGATCCCACTTCCACAAACAAAAACTAAAACAAGAAATGTGTATATGTTTATACATGATGATATGAACAAAGAGAAAGGTGCGGGAATAGTACACACCAACTGTTAACTTTGGTTACTTCAGGGCTAAGGGGCGAGGCAGGGAGACTGTAGACCTTTGTCTTCATATACCTCTATATTATATGATTTCTGCATTAAAAATGTAGTTTTAAAACTTCAAAACAACCCTAGGATTGGACTTCCCTGGTGGTGCAGTGGTTAAGAATCCACCTGCCAATGCAGGGCACAAGGGTTCAATCCCTGGTCCGGGAAGATCCCACATGCCACAGAGCAACTAAGCCCGTGCGTCACAACTACTGAGCCTGCACTCTAGAGCCCACGAGCCACAACTACTGAGCCCACAAGCCACAACTACTGAGCCAGTGCGCCTAGAGCCCATGCTCCGCAATGAGAAGCCTGTGCACCACAACGAAGAGTAGCCCCGGCTCGCCGCAACTAGAGAAAGCCCACACACAGCAACAAAGACCCAACACAGCCAAAAGATTAATTAATTGATTAATTAATTAAAAACGAAAAACAAAAAACCCCACAACCCTAGAACTATGTGACCTGCACTTCGGTCCTGAGAGCAGTGATCATTAACAAGGGGTACACATCACAATCACCCAAGAGAACCCTTCCCACAACACACAGAGGGGAGGCCTGGATGAAGGGAGGGGTTCAAATGTCTGTTTTGAAAAGGCTCCTATATCTATGTAGAAATCATGAGTTTAGATGATCAAATTATACCAATATTGGTACTATGCACTTAAATAAGTTGAAAGAGATGAAAATCTTCATTAATGGTACAATGAAATAATTTGTATGGAAATTCTAATATCCTGCTCCTGACTAAAACATAATTCCATACAGAATAATGCATTACTCCATCTCAATCACATAACATATCACATACCAAGCACAAAAAGACTAAAAGTTCCTTCTGTATTCGAAACTTTCTCTCATCAGTAATGCAATCTAGTACTGCTAATACAATCTCAGAATTAACTGAGTTCAAAAAAAATTTTATGGAGATTGTAATTTATTATCACCTCTGCAGAAATGATTGCTAATTCCCTTAAAGAGGAATCACCAATGTGGAAAAGATCAGACAAAATCCTACCACTTACCAATAAGTCGGGGTTCTGAAGTAAAGTCTCTTGGGGGTACTGGAATTTTCTTTACTATGTACTCACAGACAACTTCAATATTGTATTTTAGCTGAGCAGAAATTGGAATAATAGGAGCTCCTTCTGCTACTGTACCTATAAGACAAAATTCAGAAAGATCAAAATTCTTGTTTTACAGAACTTGTTCTTTACATATTATAGGAAACAGTTAAGATTACTAAAATAGATGCCTAAACATCCTCAAATACCAGCAACAGGTAGAAAATGATAATTCTTTTTAGAAAAGTGTCAGTATTCTATGTGTTTTTGCTCCTGAAAATGAATACTATTGCATTTAAGGGAAAAAAAAGTCAAAATATATTAATAGATATATTTAATACACCAAAATGATAAAACTGCTCAAAAGAAGAAAATACTAACACTCCTAGGAAAGAGCACTTTACTAGTTGAAAGATTTCTGATAACATGTAATTAACTTCCCAATAAATGTCAAGATAAATTATAGACTCTGCTAATCAAAGACTGATGGCATATATAGTATTTGCTCCTTATTAATTAAATGTCAAACAGGCTGGTGAAAGAAACGGACCAAACACAATGAGGTTTTAATCAAAATGATTTATTCTTTTTTGTTATGAGAGAACTGGGTGCATAGGAAATCAACCTTTCTAGCAAGAAAAACAAGGCTAAGAGAGGATCAAATGTCAATAATAAGATGTCTTCCCTGAAATGAAAAACACTGCTGTTAGAGGAAAGGAACACTAAAAGATAAAATAAATCATTGTCAGTTTCAATTCTAAAAGTAGCTACTCAGTAAGAACAGTGTAAGACTGAAGGTTTTTTTTAATGGATTTTTTAAAAATTAATTAATTAATTATTTTGGCCATGTCGCGTGGCTTGCGGGATCTTAGTTCCCTGACCAGGGATTGAACCCACTCCCTCGGCAGTGAAAGTGCAGAATCCTAACCACTGGACCGCCAGGGAATTCCGAAGACTTATGGTTTTTTTTTGTTTGTTTGTTTTTTTAAATGCTTTTGTTTATTTTACTATCACTGAGGAGGATTTTTATTAGATATTATGGCTTCTTACCTTGTACAAATGCAAGGATCTGTTCATACTGTTCTTTAGCCTGGCTTTCTTTTACCAAATCAATTTTATTTTGTAGAATCAAAATATGCTTCAGTTTCATGATTTCTATAGCAGCCAGGTGTTCAGAAGTCTGGGGCTGAGGACAAGACTCATTACCAGCTAAATGATAAAGAATAAAAAAGATGCATGAGAATTAGCTAGAAATATCTGTCAGAATAGGCAAATCCATAAGAGACAGAAGGCAGGTTAGTGGTTGCCAGGGACTGAGGGAAAGGGGGATCAGAGTGATTGCTTAATGGGCACCGGGTTTCCTTTTGGGGTGATGAAAATGTTCCAGAACTAGACAGTGCTGACACTTGTAGAACACTGTGAATGTACTTAATATCACTGAATTGTATACTTTAAATGGCTAAAATGCTAAATTTTGTGTTATGTGTATTGTACTACCGAAAAAACACTAGCTGACATCTAAAAAAGGAAACGCTTGAATGCCCTAGCCCTACTCAAGGCAAAAGTCCTGGCTCGTTGCCGAGCATCCACCTTTGCCCCTGCTTCATCCACTGTGTCTGGATTCACTGGAGCCTCCTGATCATTTGGCTCTCTTCCCTGGTCCTAAGCCAAAAGCTTGGACTCAACAAGTTTGACATCTCAGGGTCTGCCCTTAGCTTTTGCTCAGGCATAAGGAAGAGCCCTCTGGCTCTGTCTAGTCTTAGAGACGTTCTGGCCCAGTCAAGCTCCTGAGAGGCAGAGAGTAATTAAGGGAAGACACTTAACACAGTCCATGAATTTCAGCTACTATCAGAGGCTACTCCCTAACAAACCGAGGGAAGAACACTAAAAACAACCACTGGTATTATAAAGAAATAGGTATGTTTTTTGGGCATCTTAATGACCATCCTAAGTGATGATGTTCAGGTGTCCTGTACTATATCCACTCGGCATACTTTTAAAAATTATATCCCATAGCAACAAAATCTCTTGACAGCCCACATAAGGAAGGTGGCACAACACCAGCCTTGAAAACCCCAATTCATCTAGACTTCAGCACTTATTATGAATGAGATTTGCATCTAAATAAAACCATTATACACCAGTGTTGCAGTAGACAACTCAAAGATGCACACAAAAAAATACATGCACTTTTACATGTAAATATAAAACTAATAAATCATTTCATGTGATCTAAGGGGAGAAAATGCACTATTGATTTTTTCAAATATATACTACCAAAAGAATTCTCACAAGACATCTGCCCTAGGTCTATCTTTACTATTTTGTGATAGCTGGTAGACAAGGATATCATCCTGGTTGACATGTTAGTTCCCATTTCCGTCACCTTTAGGTACTGGATGTGGCCCTTAAAGGCCTTAGTTTCCCTTTAAATAGTCCATCTTGGATTTGCTCCACAATGATTTGTCCAAACCAGTTCTGACGTATTTACCTATCAACAGAAGAGCTGCATCCATCACTGCGGCACCATTCAGCATAGTAGCCATCAAAATATCGTGGCCAGGACAGTCAACAAAGGAAACATGTCTAACAATTAAAAAACAGCAATCAATCCTAAGATCAATCAATACTTCAACATTCAAGTTACAGATTTCCTAAAATTAAATCCCTTTATATATAGAATATGAATATTACATATAAATATGAAATAAGAATATGGAAATAATTTTTATTTCTGTAAAGTCAAGTGGTTACAGGACTTGGTGTTTCTAGACCTCAGAAATAAGATTACCTACTGGCTCAATTATACTTCAAAAACAAACAAACAAAAAAACTCATAGAAAAAGAGATCAGATTTGTGATTACCAGATCTGTGGTTACCAGAGGTGGGGGATGGAGGAAGGGGGAATCAAATGAAAGCAGTCAAAAGGTACACACTTTCAGTTATAAGATAAATAAGTACTAGAAATATGACATACAATATAATATAGTTAACACCACTGTTTGTTATACATGAAAGTTAACAGAATAAATCTTAAGAGTTCTCATCATAAGGAAAAATTTTTTTTTCTACTCATTTAAGTTTATATGATGATGGATGTTCACTAAACTTATTGTGATCATCATTTTACGACGTATCTAAGTCAAATCATTATGCTGTACACCTTAAGCTTATACAGTTCTGTATGTCAATTATATCTCAATAAAACTGGAGGGAAAAAAATATGAAAAGAACAACAACAAAAATTACCTACTGGCTGAGAGTAAAATCACTGCAGATCATTACAAAGCAAATGAAATTAGCTATGTGTAGAAATAACTGGATACAAAAACTCCCAAATCCAATTAAAGTGAATATGGTATAAAGTATATACTGGGAATGTCATTGATTTGAATGCTAAACCAGTGTTAACAGAATGGGCAGTGCCATCTGAAAAAATTTGCCAAAAACTTCTCTAGCATCTTGAAAAGCTGGAATTGCCCATCTGAAGTGCAGATGGCAGCACCATTTAAACAAAATTATGCTACTCATTCGGAATCATTATTTTTAATAATTGTATGCTCACACTCACGATCTAAAATAGGGGCAGCAGACTGGCCCACTGCCATAACCACTCATGCACATCATGTCTGCTTTCACAACACAATAGCAGAGATGAGTAGTTGCAAAGAGAATCTATGGTCTGCAAAGCTGAAAATATTTACTATTGGGCCCTTTGCAGGAAAAGTTTGCTGATATCTGATAAGGGCCACAAGTAGGGCGAGGCAAGTGAGCCACTCGCCCTAGGTGCAAAATTTAAGGGGGTGCCCAAAAAAACCCAGTAATCAAAACAAACAATATTTAAACTTAATATTTAAAAAAAACAAAGTTCATGCAAAACATCCATGATGAACAAAATATCAAAAATTTAAATGAAAACAGGATCAGCAACAATGCCACGCCAAAAGCGAATCAACCAAAAAACCCCAAGTGATAATGAAAAGGAAAACACTAGTAGTTTGAGCTGTCAAGGAACTGAGATCCCACAAGCTGCACGGTGGGGCCAAAAAAGAATTTTTTTTAATTTAAAAATAAATAAATAAATAAATAATACTATTTATCTTGATTACCGAGGCTCTTTTTCTTTTCTTTTTAAAGCTTCTCCCCTTAAACTTTGGGCTTCATTCACCTCTCCCTAGTCCCAGCTCTGCCCCAATCTACAATTTCTTTGTGGAATATCCCCAACCCCCATAAACATCGCTGGGTGGATGACAGTATCCTCTAATAAAGAATAAGTATACGCAATCATATTCAGAAAACAGATGGGTAACAAACCCATGTATTTAAAAAACGTGATTAAGAATGGCTTTGTTCTCCTCTAAGAAACAGAAACAACACTGTTTAAGAGAAATTTATGAGGTCTGGCAAAAAGAATCCTTTATATCCAATGAGCCGTGTTTCCCTCCATTTCATTCTGCTTATGTGATACTTTTCCTTTGGAGAACTTACATGTACATCTCTTAATGTAGGTTTAAATACTTGACTTTTCAAATTATTGTCATTATGGACAAGAAAAACAAAATAATGCAAAAATAAAGCCATTCAACAATTAGGTTCACTGTTTAAAGTCTCAGTTAAATATTTCAAAAAGCACAAATCACACAACAAAATATGAAGTGTAAAGTGTTTTTAGCAGAAAAGAGGTCACCTGACTAATTTGAAGTTCCCTTTGGTCCCTGGAATATCTGTAGGAAACTCATCGGGTGTACTACTTCCACAGGATCTGTAACATTCTGGCCGAGGACAACTTGGGTCGTCAAGTTTATAAATCTAAAAGTTCCAATGAAAAAAAGACTTGGATTTGTTATCTGCACATTCAACAATTAAAGTTAGTTTCTAATTTCACTGTACACAGCTCACCTTAGCATTAGCATAGCCAAGTTTGATTGTAATATTTCTTTCTAGTTCATTTTTGAACCTGACAGTGTGAACTCCAGAAATAGCTTTTACAACCGTAGACTTCCCATGAGCTACATGACCAATTGTACCTATAGACAAAGTACAAAAAATTAATTCATGTGCATTCAGTTACACAACATATTTTTCAGTTTTAGAGTAGAAAACCCAAAGCCATAACTCACTGTAAACATCAATGGAAAACTAATAGTGACTTCAATTTCTCCTCCTACACATCCTCGATTACAAAAAACTTACTCTGATACAGGACTGAGGAGAACTTTCCATGTAACCGACAACCTTGTTTTAAACCATACTCAGCATAATAAAAGCCATCCATCTTATGTTTTTACTCACAGAAAAGAATGCCTTCATTTAAAATAAACACTTGGTAAAAAGTACATGAAATCTTGTATATCAAGAAACTTTCCAGCATGTTCAGAGTGAAGTAAATAGGTATGAGGAGCCCTCACACAACAAAAAGGAATCCATGAAAACAAAGAAAACAACTCAGGTATCATTACGGTAATGCTGTCAAGGGTAGCACATATCTTATAAGTTGTTTTTTTTTTATCTTACAAGTTTTTAACAGCCTCATTAGTAGAGCCTTACTTTTAACTAGGCTTTACTGTGTTGTTTGTGCAGACTCTCAAATACTCCAAATTTACAATCAGTCAACATAACTTCTTCTCTAAAGTTCTATGTGCCAATTAAGAAAAAAAATTATCTAGTTAGTAATAGCTTATATATCAAACAAAACTTCCGCAAACTCTGCCCTTGCAATAACCCTGCGTGGCAAGTACAGTCGCGTTTCCCTCTTTTCTTTAAAATGCTACATGACTACAATCACCTTATGCTATTAAACTTTTCTTATGTATTTATCGCTTCTTCTCACCTAGTCTGTAAGCTAGGCACGCGCAACATGGGCTTCCCAAAAATATCTAGCAGGTGCTTGGCTCGCAAGAGCTGAACATCTATTTATTGAATATCTGCATCTTCATGTAATTCAGGCAATCACACAAAGGGAGAGGTTAAAATTAGTGGCCGGAGATCAATTAAGTCAGGTCTCCAAGTTATTCTTATCTTACCTATATTAATTGTGGCCTGTCTGCTGATAACTTCATGTGAAAGTGGCGTCAACTTGGTAACATCCTGCAATCAAACATTTTTATTTTAAATCGCTGTACATAAGACAAATCACAACTTTGACTTTACATTTGCTACCTACAGCTCTCTACCATTTGAATAGCCCTCTTGTACTTCTAAAGCGCTTTTTCTGTACAAGCAACCTTGCATTCTGATGACTGGGAAGCCCTAAAAGTCCTTCATCGTTACACACTGCCTATGGGGGATGTGGAAGCTTGAGGTCCCCCAACCTTGAGAGCATTAGCACTAAGGACAGTGTAGATACTCCCTTCCCAGACCTTCCGAACTAAAAAGCCTTAATGATACTTAACACTGTGACTTTCCAGCCGAATGATTCGGGAGGCTCGGGGTCTCACAACCGCATAGCCTCATTCCCAGCTCGCATACTAACAGAGAAGCATGGGGCGGCGCGAGCACGACTTAGGGCGCCGGGCTCCGGGTCTCCCTCCTAACACATGCTCCCGACAGCCCGGCACTGCCTCGTCTCAAAGCCTCCCGGAAGGCCCGGTCATCCCCACTCCTGAGCTCCTTCAGCATCCTGCCAGAGCGATGACTTACCAAAGTGTTGAGATCTTGCCGAGACAGGTGCGGCTGCCCTAAAGTCACACCAGCCTCGCCCCCCGCCATCTTGCCCGGAGAGGAAGGAAGTCGTCCGGGTGGCTGCCTGACCGTTCGCAAGCCCCCTGGTGCAGGGAGGGGCAGCGGAGGCGGGAGGGCCGACTAGGGCCCAGGCCTGGGAGAGGAGGATGGCCGGTGCAGCGGAGGCCTCACTGCTTGGACTTTTCTCCCCATGGATTTGTACAGTGCCTGCCGGCAGGCTGACTAAAATACACAAGGCCAGTTTCAGGATCTATTCGCGACAGACCTGTTGCATATTTGTGCAGGCAACGATGAGGGCAGCCCTAAAAAAGGCCCCTTGCTAGGCAGGCGATGCAACCGACGCGCGCGCTGGGGAGGGTGTAGCCATTTCCGCTTCCCGTGGGGCGGGCCAAAAGAATTTCCCGAAACCTGGGATTCTTATCTGGGGTGTGAAGATAGACGCTGGGAATGTCGTTCTTTACCGATTTCTATAATTTAGTAAGGCGAGATCAGCTCCGGGTTCGGCCGGGGCCCTTGGCCGGAAAGTGGCCGCGCACCGAACTGGCGGTGGGAAGGGCGCCCTCACGCGGAGGTCCCGCGGCCCAGGGAGGGCAAAAGCAAAGTCTCTAACTTGCTCTCGGAGAGAGCTTTCTAGAGCCAGGGAGGTGGTCCATGGTGGCGCTAATGGAGCTAGCACTGGATAGAAGTTAGGTGTCGTGAGAGCGCCCCAATTTTTTTTAAGCCGATCCGAATTTCCATCTCTATTTTCTTTACTCTTTCTTGTTTCTAAATATTCAATGTACTTTTTCTGCAGCTAATGAAAAGTGAAGGTCTTCAAATGTCATGTTTGAGAGTACAGATAGTATTCAGTGGAAATTGGGAGTCATCAAATGCTTTTTTATCCCAAGAACATAAAACAATCTGTACATACATATTTTTTGTAAATCTTAAATGTAAGAAAATATAGTTAAAAATCACCCGCTCTAAAATCAAATGTAAAATTATTCTTTGGGGATTTGTTTTTTAAAACAGTGAAAAAAGCAAAGAGTAGTGAATATACTAAAGATATTTATAATCTCTGACTTATTTTAATGTACTTGGAATTTTGTTTCTGGTAAGAGCTATTGCTTTCTTGTTTGACTTCCTGATTTTCAGTAAAATGTGCATATAATAACAAAAAACTATTCTGTATGAAAAAAACAAATCCGAGAAAACCCACTTTTTCACTCGAACGATTACCAATAAATCGGTATTTTAAAATTTAAAGATTTTTGAGACTTTATTAACCCCTTTTTCATCGTGTTAAAAAGAATTACAGTAAGTTTCATTTCTCTTCACGCATTTCTACACTTTACAAATTTTTTATCATGTACAGGTCTTCATTTCTAGCCAGAAAAAAAATGTAGGGAGAAATTTGTAAGTATTTCAGTTACCTGTGGTCATTGAATACTTAAGCAAGATTAAAATTAATATATGTTTTCTATCTGAGAAAGACAAATACCATATGATATCACATATGCGGAATCTAAAATATGACAAATGAACTTATCTACGAAACAGAATCACAGACATAGAGAACAGACTTCTGGTTGCCAAGGGGGAGGGGGAGTCAGGGAGGGATGGATTGGGAGTTTGGGATTAGCAGATGCAAACAATTATATATAGGATGGATAAACAACAAGGTCCTACTGCATAGCGCAGGGAACTGTATTCAACATCCTGTAGTAAACCATAAAGGGATATGAAAAAGAATGTATATATATGTATAACTGAATCACTTTGCTGTACAGCAGAAATTAACACATTGTAAATCAACTATACTTCAATAAAATAAACGTATTTTGTAAACATATATGTTTACATATATAAAACATTTTTTTTATATATATATGTTTTCTATCACACAAGTTTGGGGTACAACAGTTAACCTAAAATAGTAAGTTACATTTCAATAAATGCATTCATTGGTTAAGTGATGGTAGAAACTGTACAATATATTGTATTTGGGTGGAGGCATTTAATTCCTAAATTTGAACAAATTTAACTTCTAAATTTGTAAGTTCCTAAATTTCGAATTTATCTTACATTCTCAATAGTTATACCGTACCAGCCAATTCAGAAAACCCACTGAGGTAATAAAGATGTGGAATTAGTGGTGATGGTTACACAACTGCAAATATACTAAAAAACAGTGAATTGTACTGTTTAAAAGGGTGAATCTTATGGTATGTGAATTATATCTCAATAAAAAATATAAAATTTGTTGGTAATAGTATATAATATGCTTCACTGTCAGAAACTTTTATTGGAAGTAGAAATGTCACTGAAAATAATGCTATTAATAATAGTATTAACATTGGCTCCAACTTGGGGAATTCCCTGGCAGTCCAGTGGTTAGGATTCGGTGCTTTCAAGGCCCGGGCCTGGGTTCAATCCCTGGTCGGGGAACTAAGATCCCGCAAGCTGCAAGGCGCGAGAAGAAAAAAAAAAAAGTATACAATTCAATGCTTTTAAGTAAATTTACAGAGTTGTGCAACCATCACCACAATCCAGATTTTGAACATTTCCATAACGCCAAAGAGATCCCTCATGTTAATCCCATTTGCAGTCAATCCCCGTATCCATCTCTGGCCCCAGGCAACCACTAGTGGTCTTTCTCTATATACAGATTTGCCTTTTCTGGACATTTTATATAAATGGAATTATACAATATGTGGTCTTTTGCTTCTGGCTTCTCTCACTTAGCATAATGATTTTGAGGTTCATCCATGTTGTAGCATCTATCAGTAGTAGTTCATGCCTTTCTATTGCTGAATATAATTCCATTTTATGGACATACCGCTTTTGTTGATCCATTCACCAGTTGATGGATATTGGGATTGTTTCCACTTTTTGGGTGTTGTGAATAATATTGCTATGAACATTTGTGTACAAGTTTTTATGAGAACATATTTTCCTTTATGTTGGTAAATATCTAGTTGTGCATTTGCTGAGTCCTATGGTAAGTCTATGTTTAACATCTTGAGGAACAGCCATATTTTTCCAAAGTGGCTGCACCATTTTACATTCCCAGCAGCAACATATGAGAGCTCCAGTTTCTCCACACCCTTACCAATGCTTGATATTGTCTCTTCTTTTTATTGTAGACATTCTAGTAGATGTGGTTTTAATTTGCATTTCTCTAATGACTATGTTGAACATCTTTTCATGTACTTAATAGCCATTTATATCTCTTCTTTGGTAAAATATGTATTTAAACCCAGTTTAAAATTGGGTTGTTTATCTTATTATTGAGTTGCAAGAGTTCTTTTTATATTCTGGATACAAGTCTTCATCAGATGCATGATTTGCAAATGTTTTCTCCCAGTCTGTAGCTTGTCTTTTCATTTTTTTAATGGTGTCTGTGAAGAACAAAAGCTTCTACCTTTGATGAAGTCCAATTTATTTCTCCTTTTATGAATCTTGCTTTTGGTGTCAAATTTAAGAACACTTTGCCTAACCCAAGGACACAAAGATTTACTATGTTTTCTTTTTTTTTCTTTTTTTTAAAAATTTATTTATTTATTTATTTTTATTTGTGGCTGCATTGGGTCTTCGTTGCTGTGCGCGGGCTTTCTCTAGCTGTGGCGAGCAGGGGCTACTCTTCTTTGCGGTGCGTGGCTTCTCATTGCGGTGGCTTGTCTTGTTGCAGAGCACGGGCTCTAGGCGTGTGGGCTTCAGTAGTTGTGGCTCATGGGCTCTAGAGCGCAGGTTCAGTAGTTGTGGCGTACACAGTCTTAGTTGCTCCACAGCATATGTGATCTTCCTGGACCAGGGCTCGAACCTGTGTCCCCTGCATTGGCGGGTGGATTCTTAACCATTGTGCCACCAGGGAAGTCCCCTACTCGTATGTTTTCTTCTTAAAGGTTTATGGTTTCAGCTCTTACCTTTTGGGTCTGTGATCTATTTTGTGTATAGTGTGAGCTAAGCGTTTAACTCCATATTTTTGCATGTAGTTATCCAATTGTACCAGCACTATATATTGAAAAGACAATCCTTTTCCTATGGAATTGCCTTGGCACCTTTGTCAAAAATAAATTGACCAAGGACTTCCCGGGTGGTCCAGTGGCTAAGCCTCTGTGCTCCCAATGCAGGGGGCCCGGGTTTGAGCCCTGGTTGGGGAACTAGATCCCACATGCTGCAACTAAAAATTCGCACGCTGCAACTAAAAAAAAAAAAAAAAAAAAAAGATCCCGCATGCCATAACGAAGATCCTGCATGCCGCAACTAAGACCTGGCGCAGCCAAATAAATATTTTGTTAAAAAGAAATTGACTGTATAAATATTTATTTCTGGACTCTCTATTCTGTTCCATTGATCTACATGTCTATCCTTATGCCAGTACCACAATGTCTTGATTTCTGTAGCTTTATAGTACATTTTGAATTTGGAATGTGTAAGTTCTTTAACTATGTTCTTTTTCAAAACTGGTCTGGCTCTTCTAGAGCCTTTGTATTTCCATATAAATTTCAGGATCAGCTTGTCAATTTCTGCAATAAAGCCTGCTGGGTTTTTGATAGGGATTTTATTTTGGGGGGGATTATATCTTTTTACTCCTTTGGATGCTCTCCTCTTCCTAAATACCCCCAAATTCTTAGCATATATTTCTTAGGAATAATAATATAAATAAATATTTACTGTTTACCAGGCATGGTGCTGAGTGGTTTACAGTCCTTATTGCATTTGTTCCTTACAATTACCCTTGGAGGACCCACCACCGATCCACCGACGGATTGCCGATCTGCCCAGCTCTCGCGTGCGCCATGTCTGGTTCCTCCAGCGTTGCCGCTATGAAGAAAGTGGTTCAACAGCTCCGGCTGGAGGCCGGGCTCAACCGCGTAAAGGTTTCCCAGGCAGCTGCAGATTTTAAACAATTCTGTCTGCAGAATGCTCAACATGACCCCCTGCTGACTGGAGTATCTTCAAGTACAAATCCCTTCAGACCTCAGAAAGTCTGTTACTTTTTGTAGTAAAATGAATCTTTGCAAGGTTTTTAAACCACTTTTCATAAACCGGTGAATATTCAAAGGAAAGCCAAATTTGAAGCCTGTACAAAAGCCTGTCTCTGTA